AATTAAATGTGGAAATACACTTTATTCTTACTTTCTTACATGTTTTAGAATGCCTTATTGTTTGGGAACCCAGTTTAAATACGAGGAAGCATTCTGATCTGAAGGTGGGTCATTCTGCTGCTTCTCTGGAAGCAGGAACAATTTGTAATGAAGTATCTGTCTCATCTCTAATATTAACAATACTTTAATTATTCTTGCAGAGGTACAGTAGGCAACTTCCACTGAAAGAAATTAAAGTAAAAAAATTAAAATACTTGGAGACTTTAATTCACTGAGTTAATACATACTGTATTATCAAGACCAACAATACTTTGAGAATTTAAACCTACATGAATGTGTATGAAAATTTGAAAGAAAACCAGTAGTCTATTGAAGAATTAACTCCATATTTTATATTCTCAAGAAATAACCAGGGTGGAAACTGGGGCAAATTAATGTCAGGATACATGAGGTATTATTTCCCTCTATTCATCATTTCCCTTCGTTTGTTATTATAATTTTTGTTTGTTTTTTTGCAAATTGTTCTCTGCCTGCCTCCTGGTTTTGATGTACCATATGTTCAAATTCTGTATTTAGAGAAACAAACCCATGGAGTGTTCTCATGAAAATATCAAATGCTGCTTGGAATTATAGACCCAAGAAAGCTTCAACCACTGCTATTTGCCTTTTCCATGAAATATTATTAGCTTTGAATTTCAGAAATAAATAAAAGCCAAGGATACCATCTGGTGCCTTTTAAAAGTGACAAAATAGGAAAATAATAATAGAGCCTTTGTGCAAAACAGTTTTGCATTGGTTTAAGCTCAAGAATTTGGAGCAGTTACTATGACCTTGTTGTCAAAGCACATTCAATCTTTGCAGCTGAACATTTATGCTGATAGTGACTGATTCATTGGAAGCTAATTGTTTCATAAGGTACTGTTGAATTCTTAGCTTTACCAGGTACATGAAATATCTTCTTTGGTAGTACTTTCTTGCCTGTCTATTTATTATTTATTATTTGTTTGATTTATATCTACTTTTCTTCCAGAAACCCAAGGGCCTTATCCATTGTGGTATTCTTGTTCAAAACTCTCCTTACTTATTACTTCTGTAAGCTGTGTTTCAGGCATCTATTCACTTTTCACCAGTCTTTTGTTGTCATTTTTGTCAACTCATTTACTATTCTGTTTCTTTTAAATTTCATGTATTCATGTAGTTTCGTGTCATTTAATCTGTTATATACCCAACTTGGGGAACATTTCATTAGCAGTTGGTAACTTCATGCAGTCCTCACTTAACAGTAGTAATTGGGATTGGAATTTCCATCACTATGTGATGCTAGATTACATGACCGCATCCCGCATCATGACAACAATCCTGGCAGCCCCCATTTATTTATTTATTAATCGAACTTCTATACCGCCCTTCTCCTTTCGGACTCAGGGTGGTGAACAGCCAAAATAAAAACATTTATACATAACATTACAGTTAAAAATAGATTTAAAATAATTACATAAATTTGGCCCGTAATTTAAAACTTGTCAATATAAAATCCGTATCAAAATTTTAAAACCAACTATAAAATCAAGACAGACCGGCTAACTGAAAAAAGTAAGTTTTTAGGGCCCGACGAAAAGTCCGGAGATTGGAGATCACTCGTATCTCTGGGGGTAGATTGTTCCAAAGGGTAGGTGCCACCACAGAGAAGGGTCTCCTCCACCATTGTCTGGCTGACGGCACCCTGAGGAGGCCCTCTCTGTGGGAGCGAACCAGCCGGTGGGAGGCTATTGGTGGCAGAAGGCGGTCCCGTAAGTACCCTGGCCCTAAGCCATGGAGCGCTTTAAAGGTGGTCACCAACACCTTGAAGTGCACCTGGAAGTCCACCGGAAGCCAATGCAGCTCGCGCAGGAGAGCACCCTGTCGCTCCCATAATCCCACGCGCGGCCGCATTCTGCACCAGTTGGAGCCTCTGGGTGTACCCCAAGGGGAGCCCCATGTAGAGAGCGTTACAATAGTCCAGACGAGAGGTGATGAGTGCTTGAGTGACCGTGCGTAGGGAGTCCCGATCCAGAAAGGGGCGCAGCTGGCGTATCAGGAGAACCTGATAAAAAGCCCCCCTGGCCACGGCTGTCATATGCTCTTCTAAAGATAGCCGTGTGTCCAGGAGGACACCCAAGTTGCGGGCCCTCTCCGTAGGGGCCAATTATTCGCCCCCAATAACCAGTGATGGCGTCAGCTGGCTATACCGGGACGCCGGCAGCCACAGCCACTCGGTCTTGAAAGGGTTGAGTCGAAGCCTGTTTCTCCCCATCCAGACCCACACGGCCTCCAGGCACTGGGACATCACTTCCAAGGCATCATTGGGATGGTCTGGGGTGGAAATGTACAGCTGAGTATCATCAGCGTACTGATGGAACTCCACCCCAAAACCACGGATGATCTCACCCAGCGGCTTCACATAAATGTTGAACAGGAGGGGCGAGAGGACCGACCCTTGTGGCACCCCACAAACAAGGTGCCTTGGGGTCGACCACTGCCCCGTCAACACGGATTGCGACCGGTCGGAGAGATAGGAGGAGAACCACCGCAAAACGGTGCCCCCCACTCCCAGTCCCTCCAGCCGGCGCAACATGATACCATGGTCGATGGTATCAAAAGCCGCTGAGAGGTCTAATAGGACCAGGATAGAAGAATAACCCCTATCCCAGGCCCTCCAGAGATCATCCACCAACGCGACCAATGCCGTTTCCGTGCTGTACCCAGGCCTGAAGCCGGACTGGAGCGGATCCAAATAGACAGCTTCATCCAGGTACTGGGGAAGCTGTCGCGCCACCACACTCTCAACAACCTTCATAATAAAACGAAGATTGGAGACTGGACGATAGTTAGCCAAAACAGCCGGATCCAGGGATGGCTTCTTGAGGAGAGGCCTCACCACCGTCACTTTCAAGGCGGCCGGCAGGACACCCTCACTCAAAGAAGCATTGATAATTCCCTCATGTAACCTCCCGGGAAGCCAGCACCAACCAGGAGGGACACAGGTCCAAAAAACATGTGGTCGCGTTCAGCCGTCCCAAGATCCTGTCCACGTCCTCGAGAGCCACAGGATCGAACTCCTCCCAGATAACACTCTCAAGGCCTGCCTCAGTCATCTCGTCTGAATTAACCCAGTCGGCGGCCAAGTCTTCCCGAATCTTCCCATTGTGTTGTTAAGAGTGGGTTGTGGGTTGGACTTGGTTGTTTCTTGTACTAGATCCCTGCTTTTTTCCATTCTTCTTCTTAACATATGAATGTAGGTTTAACTGGCAGAGATTAACACCAGATGGCCATGGTATCATTACTATGTTGATGATACCCAACTGTATATCTCTATTCCTGGCCACCCAGATGAAGTTGTCAAGGTTCTTTTCTAGTGTCGGGAGGCTGTGGGGATCTGGATGGAGAAGAACAAGCTTTGGCTTAACTCTTCCAAGATTGAGTGTCTATTTGATTTGGTCCACGGGTCCTGGAACTGGAGATTCTAACATTGACCCATTCTGAGCAGAGCTGCACTGCCCAGTTCAGATTCAATGCACAAGTTGGAAATCTTCCTGGATTCATAGCTCCTTTTGGAAAAGCATGTGGCAGCTAGGGGGTATGGCAGAGAAGCACTTGTCACATTTACTCATGCCTTAGTCCAGTGGTGGGATTCAGCCAGTTCGTACCACTTCGGGAGAACCAATTGTTAACTTTCTGAGCAGTTTGGCAAACTGGTTGTTGGAAGAAATCATTAGGGCAGAGAACCAGTTGTTAAATTACTTGAATCCCACCACTGCCTTAGTCACTCGCAGTTGGGAATATCCTTGTAGATCATATGAAAAATTTAACGGGTCTAGAACACAATAGTATGAGTACAGTAGTTATGGACATTCCTTATCATGAACTTTTACTTCAATTCTACCCCTTTAGATGAACTGGCTTCCAATAGGTTTATGGCGATCACCCTTAAAGCACTACATGGCATAAGACTGGATTATTTGTGGGGTCACCTGCTTCCAAGGGTATCAGGTTATCCCCCACTCAACAAAGAGAAATCCTCCCGGTTATATCACTGAAACAATTACATTTTATAGAACAATATTTTAGTCTGGTTGTCAATTTACTGCTATAGTGAGTTTTAATGCATTGTATTGTTTTTGTTTATTTACATCCCCCCTTTATTATTTTTACAAATAAATCACAAGGTGGTGAACATATCCAAAATACCTTCCTCCTCCTATTATCCCCACAACAACCCTGTTGGGTGAGATGCTTTTTTTTCTTGTGCACCACCCAGAGTCATGGGGTTTGAGTTGGACAGCCATATAAATATTATAAATAAAATAATAAAAAAGTTGATTGATATATAGATAAAACCGTGAATATTAACCAGCCAGTCTGGTTGGGTTTCAGGACCCAACTTAATGCACAAATAGTAGGTGCTACTAAAAATTGAAAAGCCCATTTTGTCTGATCTGCTCAGGATTTGTTTTGAATTAGTATTCAAGGACATCTTTAGATATATAAACAAACCATAGCCAAATTCCATGAAATGCTTATAAATCTGGGATGCCTTTTTGTAGTATTCTATCCTTTTATATATACTCATTTGATGTGAACAAAAATGGCTTGGCTATAGACTTTTCCCCATTACAAGACCAGAATTGTAATGTCAGTTTCTCATATACTCATGATGTCTTAATTTCCCACTAATGTTTATATTGAGATTACAAAGAAGAGAATTCACATTGAGGATTTCCTCATTATAATTTCTTCATAGTTTTTCTGTATGTTACAAGAGGCACGAAACTGTACCCACTCTTTCTCTCTTGTGTATGAAAGATACACACACACATACATATACATAGAGAGTAAATGATGGGGGTTTTCTTCAGCACATCACGACTATTCATGACTCTGACCTGCACCTTCTCTGCTGCTGAAACAATGGCATTTGGAGAGAAAAAATTAGTATACTATTAATCAGTCTGATACACTAAAGCGTTCAAATATCTTTAAAGGAAATGTAAACTTGAACAGTTATGTTTTCCATTAAAATACTTCACATTTTAATCTCGTCCTCCTCTATAACCAACATCTTGACTAAAGAGAAAAAGAGAACTGTAATTGCCAGGAAGGAAGGAGTTCAGATCTTTGCATACTCTTTGAGAATCATCTCCAGTTTCTGACCGAGTAGAATATTACCCTTCACCTTCACTTTCCCAATCAGAAAAGCCTTCTGGGGCTTTATCTTGCCCAAAGCAAGTTCCATGAAATCATGTTCAGAGAGAATAAAAACTGTGTTGGCAGGCTCGTGAGATGCTCCTTTATAGACCTGACCAGAACCAGACTTCAAATCCAGGGTCCACTGGGCCACAACCTTTCCTCCATTCATGATGTCCCACTGAAAGACAGCATTCACCTTTTTCACAACTTGACTGCCAACACCTTTGATGCGACGCCCAATTTCCTCAAAAATAAGATCACTCTGAAGTCCAGGGCCTTTCGCTGAAGCATTTCTAGATGTCATCAGAGGTTCATACAAATCTGAAACAGCAGTTTGTTCACTTGTGTTGATTTTCATGTGAAGACATTTCAGCCTTTCTCTCCACATCTTCTTTTATAAATGTTTGAAAATGAGCAATTGTTATCTCACTTTGTATATAAGAGCTAGGGTGTTACCATACCTCTTTTCACAAACAGTATTTACATTTCAGTAATAAAATGAAGTAGAAATCATTGTTGGGTGGACACATTGTGTAATCAGATATGACAGCCAGTCAGCATTAAGTTTCAGTTGGTTTGTATGCTGTCATCTCATTGGTGGATATACTTTATTGTGACAGGCAAGATTTCTTATAAAGGCTGTGGCTGTGTGCTGCTTGGGTGTAACATAAGGTGTAGATAGACAGTGTGCCTACAATTTTTTGTCATGCATTTTGTCTACATAATAAAATTTGACTTTTCTTGAAGAATTTCAATTATATGAAGCCTGGGATTTGGCAAAAATAGTATTTATGTTGATACAAAAAATGTATAGCTCTTTAACATTAAGGAATGGAATCAATTTATGTGCTCCTTGTTGATTTTTTAAAAATATCTTCATATTTTAAGAATGATAAAATGGAACAATGTGTTTTGGTATGGTCTAAATTTACTTTGAACTAAATTTATACTAGCCTGTGATCCATGGTTATCTGTATCCTAGGAAAGAACAGCTCTTTAAGATACCATTGTAATCTGGTAGTGTCACTGTTTAATATCATTGATCATATGGCAGGGTATTGTTGGATTTATTGTATGTAAATTGTATATGTTGCAATATTAAGTATTCTTTAAGCTTTCATACTAGGTTAGCTACACCAGCAGTCCCCAACTTTTTTTGTACCAGGGACCAGTTTTGTGGAAGACAATTTTACATAGCCTGGGAGGGGAATGGTTTCAGTTTCACTTGCTTGCCCATCGCTCACCTCCAGCTGTGCGGCCCGGTCCTTAAGAGGCCATGGACAGGTACCTATTTGTCTCGGGAGTTGGAGACCCCTGAGCTATATATTTGAATAAAGAACAGTATGAAAACATACATTTTATCTTAATTTGAAGTATCTCTTAATACTTCATAGCCTGAATATTATTTTTAAATGTATCCTTATAAACGTGTGTGTAGTATAGATATTCTTGTCAATGATCCAGAATTAGTAAAACTGCTGAAAGCTTGGCAGATAACTATTTTCTGTTAAATTAAGTTTGGAATGGCCCAGAGTTCACAAAAGTAGCCCCTTGCCATTAAAGTTATGAAGTTGCTATTTTCAAATATTTTACTTTTATGTATGCATTTAATTCTTTGAAAGTTACAGAGTAGGAGAATTTCAAACATCCTGACATTGTGAATTCAGATGTAACCCAAACTGAACTGAATCTTTTGCAAATAACTTTTGCCTCAAAAACCTTTGCCTCAAGATGCATTTAACAACTTGTATGTCAAGATAAGGAACATATTTTGAATACGTATATACCTTTGCTGATAAATTTAAATATTTATAATTATTATTTAAATATATATTCTATGCAGATCTTTCCATGCTAGGAAATTTTTGACTTATGAAAGAGACACAGTGGTGAAACAGACAGAAATAACCAGATCTATCAACTCCAAGTGTGGTCTTTTTTCTGTTGCTGCAGCACATCACTTCTTAAGTTGGTAATTTGTTTCAATAGTTTACTCCCATATTTCCCATACTGGGAGAATCATTTCTGAGGATTTTCTGCTTACAGTTCTATTTTTTTTTAAATTTTTTATTATATTTTTATTGTTAAAGAATAACAGAAAGAGAAAAAAAAAAATACAAAAATCAATAGTAAGGAAAGAAAAATTTTTTCCCCCCAACGTGCTATACAAACGGAAAGGAAGTTTTAGGAAACTGAAGTCTTCAATTCTTCCAGAAATCTCTTTGATAAGATACTGGTGCCAATTCATCCAATCTCCCAAGTGCAAAGTCCACATTCTTTCATTACCTTTAATCTCCCTCCAAACATCTACTACACCATTTTGCAACATCCAGTTATCAAGTATCCCCATTTTTCTTATTCCACCATAGCGGGTAGGATTGGTACTATCCATCTGGTTTCTAATTAAATTAAAATCACCAGCAATAATTACCTTCCCTACCCTTTCAATTTGCAACAAATCAGTAATCTTATTCAAAAAATCTTTTTGATTCACATTTGATACATATAAATTAACCAATGTTATTTTTTCCTCGTTAATACATCCTGTTATTATCAAATATCGTCCATCGATATCTGCTATTACTTTGTTTTTTTCAAATTGGACTCTATTTGATATTAATATTGCAACACCTCTAGATTTTGAGGACCCAAAAGCTTTTTCATAAACCTGCATACCTTTTAAATACATCCTGTTTATATCCTCAGATTTCTGATGAGTTTCTTGCATAAAAAGTATGTCAGGAGAATCTCTTTTAATCTTAAATTCTAAACGTCTTCTCTTAATCTGATTCCCAGTACCTTTAACATTCCAAGTCATTACCTTAATTACCCCCATTAATATTTTTAATTTTAACTATTCCCTCTTTTTCCTTTCCGTGACCCAAAACCCAAACAAATATATATAGACAACACATAACATAAAAATAATAATAATAATAAAATAATAATATAAAACATGCAGACAACATAAAACAAAAACTAACATAACACACAACCACATAAAATCTTCATCTCCCACCGTCTTCATTAAGACACGCCTCGTTTCCAAGAGTGGGGGAGAGGGGACCCCGTCCATCAGCTGGGTCGTCTCTTCATTGGCATAATTCTGGTTTCAATTGAACAACTACAAGTTCTTCGTCCCCGCACTCGGGCTCATCTTCCCTTTTATGTTCAGAGTCCAATGTAATCATCCTTTCCACTCCTTCACCAGTAACATCTCTTTTCTTCTGTACCTCCGCCAATATCCGATATCCAAGAAATATCTTTCGTTGGTTTTCTTTTCCTCTTTGGTTTTGGACCTAAACCTCCGACCGCCCCTCCTTCTTCCTCTGGTGTTGATGTATATACTTCAATTCCACCCATTTTGAGTAATTGTGATCTTAATTCACTTTGTTCTTCCTCTTTTTCTAAAAAGCCAAGCTCATGGAGATATTGAACCGCATCCGTTTCTATTGTAAATATATGCATTCTATTTTTATAGAAAAATTTCATTCGCTGTGGTGGTCTCCAATTATACTTAATACCTCTATCTCTTAATATTTTAGTAATTGGCTTCAAATAATATCTCCACGATCTTTCCTCTCTTGAGATATCTTGAAAGACTTGGACCTGTTTTCCCTCAAGCTTCAGCACAGCATCACCATTTTCTCTAATTTTTGCCATTACTTGTAATTTATCATTAACACTTGCAAATCTCACCAAAACATTTCTTATTATTTCACGTTGTCTTCTAAATCCAATTCGATAGACACTTATCAAATCTGTAGTTGTAAAATTTTTATCCAATCCGAGTTCATTAAGCCATTTCAAAACACGTTGTTTAACATTGTCCACTTTTTCTTCCACTATGCCTCTTATAACAATGTTGGACTTCCTAACTTCTTCTTCCAGAGTACATATTCTTCTATCCTGTTTTTCATTTTTTTAAAAAATTTCAGTTATTTGCTTATCAATTTTTTTTGTTTGCACTTGTAGTTGATCTACATTATCTTTTATCACTGTTACTTCTGCTGTGTATTTAGCAAAATTAACATTAATTTCTTGAACAATTTGTTCCAGCTGATTGGATCTTTCCTTCTTTTCTTCATCCATTTTTAAATGTATTTTTTGAAATTCTGTATCCATTATTTCAATTTTATCACTTAATTTGTTTAATGCCAACACAATTTGAGCTGAGTCAATACTAGCTTGAGAAATGTTTGACCTTAGATCGCACCGATTCATCTTTAGATGGATCCATCTTAATAACTCCTATAATTTTTGACCAAATATTTCTATAACCTTATTCACAATTCAAAATCAATGGGTCATCAACTTGTATTTAAAATGTTGAATTGTTGAAGAGGAAAATCTTTAACTATCAGTTCTGTACCACAGATACTCAGAAGGATCTTTTCAGAAAGACTTGGGCTTATTTTACTTTCACTTTAAGGAGCCAGAGACGACAAATAAAGCATTAAGGAGTCCCAAATTTAAAAAAGTTGAAAGTCCAAATTATTGAAGGCTTGCTTACAATTGCTTCTTGCGCCAGAGGCAGTGTAAAATACGAACAGTGAAATTCCTGTAGTCACGTTAATCAAGATCAGTTACACTCCTCAGCGCCATATTGCCCGCTGCGAACTTCAAACAGCAAACATACTTTAGATTACTTTAAAACTTTTAACTTTTAGTCCACAATTTTCACAGCGTCTTCAAAAAAAAAGGATAATTGCTTTCAAATTTTCGGACGATCCCACAAACAAGCCATTTAAATATTCGGCTATTCCAAAAAAAAAAAAAAAGGTTCCTGTTCTCCACGTTTATGTCGACTCCAACATTCAGGCAGCTCTCATATATCTTATTTTTATCTTATTCAAACATAGCCATAAAACTTGCTGCCCTTCGCCCTGCGGACGTTTTTTGCGGATCCAGCTCACAATTAAGTTCAAATTTATTGTTTTTCAGACCTCTTTAAATCATCATTTCGCCGTTTCATCACCCCCTCTGCTCACTTTTATTTCCCCGAAGGGAAAGCACTTTAAAAAAAAGCCTCAATTAAAAGCAGTTCAGGGTGGCTTACCACATCGATCTTAATCCAACCAAAACAGGAACTCTTCAATAACGCATTTAGTTGTTATCGGACTTTAAAAATGCTGTTTATTTTTATTTTCATCCGCTTTTAATTTTCCATATGCCGCAGAGAGACGAAGACAAAGTCTTCTAAGCCACAGCCATGGACACGCCCCCCCCTGCTTACAGTTCTAAACAATATTGCATTTCCTCATTTGAGATTGGTATGAAATCTGGGGGTCGTCCTAGGCTTTAAGGCAGTTTTGGCAAACTTTTTCAGCACCGAGTGCTGATGATCTTCTGGTTTCCAGCACACACATGCATGCCAGCCACCTGGTGTTCTGGTTTCTGGCATGCATGCGCGCACGAAGACTAGCTGTTTGGTGCCCATGTGCTGGCTCCAACCGGTCTTTCGGGGGTCCTCGCGCCTCCCTGCCTGCCCCCCTGGTCCCCGTCGGGGTGACGGGACATTCTCACCAATGACCCAGTTCCACAGTCCAGGACAGGGAGAGAAATTTGGGTGGGGAATACCGCCTCCCTCCATTGGAAAGCCAGAGCCCCTTTCTGGCCTCGGATATAAGGGGCGTTGGTGATCTCGGGGCTTGAGTTGGGGGGCCAGCAGGTGGGAGAACTTCGCCCCAACTCTGGCTGGGATGAAGTGCCTCCCCCAGCCCGCCGAGAACAAGCCAGCACAGCCCCCCACTTCCTGGCTGCCGCACCTCTTACCCCTCAATGGTGTCTCCAAGCGTGAGGAGCTGTGCTCTTCGCCAGCCCTCCTGGGATAGCTCACCTCCCCGACGGCGGCTCCTCCTTTTCCTCCTGGCTGCTCCAGCATCCCGGCAGGAAGAGGCATTGTGAGAACCGACGCTGCCCCCTCACGGCGGCAGGAGCAGCAGGTGAGGCGGCTGCCTGCCCAGCCAGCAAACACCCTGCTGCCCCATGTGCCCCACAGGGTGCTCCAGACCGTGGACGTGTGTTTGTGCCACAGGCTGGAGCCGCGCAAGAAGCCCGCTCAGGCGGGGAGGGATGGAAGCCGTGGCCCACCCAACCTGGATGGCAGCTCTATTCTCCTTGCTCTTCCAAATTCCGGCGCACTGGCCACCTGGTTTTCATGCGTGCGGGAGTGCCAGAAACTGAAAGAGCAGCCGCCTGGTGCGCATGCATGTACCAGGAAGATGATTTTCCGGTTTCTGGCGTACACATGCACACTGGCCGGCTGGTCTTCGTGCATGCACACTCACCAGGAACTGGAAGATTATCTTCCCGGCTTGTGTATGCGCACCGGGCGGCTGCTGTTTTGGTTTCTGGCACTCCCGCATGCGTGAAGACCAGCTGGCCAGCGCGCTGGAACCCAGAAGAGCAACAGGCGATGGCTCTGCATGCCACTTCCAGCACATGTGCCATAGGTTTGTCATCACGGGTCTAAGGTGTCCCTCAAAGAGCAAGAGGAAGATGTAGCCAGGAGGGTGTTTGCACAGATTTATGTTGTGCACAAGTTGAACTGTTTCTGAACTGGACCTCCGCACAGTCACTTCCTTTGTGCAGCTGATTCAAAATGCAACATTATGCACATTAATGGGCAGAGCTTAGTATGTCCATATAACAAACCAGTGGTGGGTTGCTTCCGGTTCTCCCTGGTTCTTGCAAACCGGTAGTGAAAATTTTGAGTAGTTTGGAGAACCGGTAAATACCACCTCTGCCTGGCCCCACCCCCAATCTATTCTAGCTGATCAGCTAGAAGGAAAAAATCAGGGCTCACTTGACAAAGAAGAAAAAAAAAAAAAACAAGGCACCTTAGCTTTAAATTGAGAAGCCAAGAAGCCTCCCAACTGATTGGCTAGAACCAATCCGCTCCTTGTAATCCGCTCGGTGGTGGTAGATTGGCAATTGAGGCCAAGCTGCCCAAAAGTGGTTTCTGATGCTCTCGGTGGTGGCAGAGCGGCAAAAAATTGTTTACACTCTTGCCGCAGCGCTTCAAAGGTCTGCCCTACAGCTGATCAGCGGTAAAAAGCAGTGTGGTGGTAGACCAGTGCGCTCCAAAAACAAATGGATAGACCGGTACGGCTCTGCAAGCAGTTAAAAGCCTGGTAGACCAGTATTTCTGCTAAATCCTAAAGAATTGTTTGTCACATGACTATCAAACAATACCCACAAAATAAGCCATGCCCACAAAACCAGTAGTAAAAAAATTTAGAACCCACCCCTGTAGAACCCACAAGCTACATCGGTTACCAAAAGGCTTTGGGTGCAATTTAAAGTGCTAATTACCACCTATAAAGCCTTGCATGCTAATTATTTGAGGGATCATCTGCCCCATGGTTTCTGCCCATCCCGTGTGCTCAGAACTGGCATATTCTGGGTCCTTTACAAGTCATCCAAGAAGTAAGTCTCCTCTGTATTGCCTGCCTTCTGGGATCATATTCCCTGAAATCCAAAGCATCTCCACCGTGCTCTCCTTTTGATGAACCTTTGGCTCTTTTCTCAGGCTTTTTGACTCTTTGAAAATGTGATTGTTAGAAAAATGTGAGGGTTTTCCCAACATTTCTTTTGTTGATTGGCTTTTGTCTTTCCCATTTCTGTTTGCCTCCCAGAGTCATCTGGAGTTGGATGCTCTTACAAATAAATTAAATAACATCAATATGAAATCAGCTGAAACCTTAATCTAAATTTGGAATACCATTTGGAATGATAGCAAGTTCTGTATCTGACAAAGACAGTAGTAAGAAAATAAATTTGCTAGCCCTGATTTATAAAAGTATGATATTTCCAACTTTTCAATATATCAGGGTAGTTGCTATAGGTGCTGTTGTCTCTACCCTTGCCCTTACCTTTGGGCAAGAGTAAGATCAGATTGCCTTTATTAGCTTTATAAGAGGAGTATCACTGTTTCTCAAGGCCACAGTATTTATGTTGTAATAAAAAACCCCTTTCCCAAGAGAAACAGCACCTTCCAGAAAAATGGCAATTGAAGCTCTCCTTTGCTCCAAACCTGCTCCTACTAGAGCTTTTTTTCCCCATATGACTGGGTAAAAAATGCAGGACAGGGAGGGTCTGGTGTTTGAATCGCATATTTCCCATGATGTGTGAATGCCATTCTGGTCACCAGCAACCAGTGAACACAAAAGAGGGAAAATACCTAAAGAAAGTAAGAACTACCTCAGAAATATTTAAAAGAAAAGAAGGATTTCATTAAACTTTCCTAATAGACAATTTTGATATCTAACACTAAAACACATTAAGTTTCTTTAAAAAAAAACCAGGCTTGGCAAATAGAAAAGTTGTTCAGGTGCTGTACTTTATTAATAAAGTTCTTCCCTTTGAAAAAATTTAACCAACACATATAAACACACACAGTTTACAGATTAAATAATTGGTAAATTAATCTAACTTGAATTCAGTTTTTTCCACAGATTGTACAGCCAGACATTAACACACAAACAATGCATTTTACACTTCATTCTGAAAAGAGACATTAGATCAGGGGTGTCAAACTGGTGGCCCGTGAGCCAGATGCCACACTCACCCTAGCTCCACGAAGGGGAAAAACATCACGTGACAGCAACGTGACGTGGCGAGTTTGACACCCATGCATTAGATGGACCAAAAGTAGAAGCATGCTCTTACAAGGGAAAAAAAGTAAGAGAAAATGTATTTTAATGAAATGGATCGTAAGATTTGTTATATACTGCTCAAAAAAATAAAGGGAACACAAAGCAGAAGACATCCGAGATCTGAATGAATGAAATAGCCTTATTAAATACTTTGTTCTTTACATACAGTAGTTTATACACTGCTCAAACAACTAAAGGGAACACAAAATTACTGTATGTAACAAACGAAGTATTTAATAAGGCTATTTCATTCATTCAGATCTCGGATGTCTTCTGTTGTGTTCCCTTTATTTTTTTGAGCAGTGTATTTATGCTGCTACAACTTGCATAACAAACTTTCCTCATCAGTAATGGAAGTCTCCATGTTACCACTGATGAGATGAGGGCTAATGCAGCACAGCTTCTTCAGGTACAGCCAAGAAAGCATAAACAGTCTTGTGCACAGAGAAGGAGCTATTGCTGTGACTATCCCTCACTTCAGGGTCTGGAAAGTAGAAGATGCAGGAGACTCTCTCCCACACAGTATGGGCCTCCTCATATTGTCTGGCAGTATGGAAAGGAAGCACAGAAAAATGTCAAAAAGACCTCTGTAGATATCCACACACAGGACTGATTTCTAAAACAACAACTCTGATAGAGTTGTCCCACTACACTAGCAATGTTTACAGTATGAAAGACATCCACACATTTCAGCTGGAAAAGGATTCTATCAGGATTTAACCCATCCTTTACTGAGGGAGGGATGTTTAATTTCAAGTATTGAGTTGAACTTTAAGAGACATTCTAAGCAGCTCAAAATACAAATGATGGACTATCCTCTGTCTCTTCATCAGCTTGGTAAATACAAAACAGCCTGGGGATTCCTTTGAGGATTGAGATTGTTTGGGGTGGGGGCGTAGAAGATGAAGAACACCTGCAGTTGTACTGAGCTTCCAAAATGCAGGAGGCATTTCTATTCTGCTCCTCCAGCCATTCTCTCTAGCTGTTGATAGATTGATGATGCCCACTGGAAGAGCAGAGGGGGGGAGGAACTGTTGTCATGATGAGAGCATTTATGCCAAGAACCATATGCATTGTTAAAATAATGTGGGCATTTCACAGTTATATAAACCTAACTATATGGAAGGGATAGTTATATAATTTATGCAATGAAAATACTGCAAATAAGAAATGACCCAAATAGAAACTTGCTTTAAAACCTATTAACGGTGGACATTAATAAAATTCCTTTGGTTGTTTGTAATACAGCATGATGGAGATCCTTACTTCTGTCAAATTCTCCTTCTGCATCAAATAATTTTTCATCTGGAAATTTAGCATCCTCAGCTAATGAGCACAGAAGGTCACCAGTAGTGTTTTTGAGCTTTCCTGTTAAAAAGAAAGGGAAGAAAGAAAATAAATCATAATGTCATACAGAAAAAAAACCCCTTTCCATTCTCCAGATACATGTTTAATTGCCACTGGCTTTAACAGTTTAATCATAAAAAAGGGAGACCAAATGATTTCAAGTAGCATTTTAAACATCTGTTCAAACTTTCAAAATAATCTCCCTATACTGTATACTATACTGTACTGTGAGCAATTTGCCTGGCATTTCTCAGTATAAAAAGCTGAGGCAGTTTTTCTGGAAAATCCTTCCACTCAATAGCTACAAATATATTTCTTAAATAGTGTCCTGAACAACATGCAAGTGATTCACTGGATTTGTGTAGTTAATGCTGCCCAGGAAATATCTGTGGCTACACTCCCATTTACTCAGAGTTGTAATTGCCAAATATGATGCTATAATATGGGTATACAGTATCTAAGTTAGATGGATGATGCTACTGCCAATTTTAGTGGTGAAAGAGATAAAGAAAAAATTGTATAGTTTTCTTATGCTTAATAGCATGAAATTGTGGATCCTTTCAACATGGAGACTTCATTTTTCAAAGTATATTCTAGCCCAAAAACTCAACCTTTTTTTTTGTAAAAAGTTTTTCTTTATTTCTTTACACACACACAAACATACAATGTATTTTTGCTGAACAATCTTTGGCCAGTTAACAAATTTAAACAATTTTTAGTCCTTACAACTAAGATTACAATTTCTATACCTCCTTTTTGCCATAGTATTTATTTTCATCTATTTTTTTACAATATTACCCTTCATTTTCATCTCTAATTTTAACCAAATTCCATTTTTCCCTTCTATTCTATATTAAACCCCTTTTCATTGTCATCTATTTTTATATCCATCATCAGAATAATTAATTTTGTGGTGTTACAATTGTTCAGTTCTTATAGAAATAGTGAACCCACTTATTTTATAGCATACATTTTCTTAGGTAATATAGTCCAACATTTTAGTATAAATCAATTAATTATATAAATATCTTTTCCATTTATAAATTCAAACAAGAAAAAAAAGAAAAAAAAGGATATAAACGTGGCTATTCCAATTAGTTCCATTTTCATACATCAAGTAATTTTCCCCATGTTCCTCCAAACCACATCTTCATCATTTCTACTTTCATCACGATATACAATTAAAAATATTTCATTTATTACAATTTCCTTGGTTAAATTTTAAAATATTCTGTTATCCTTTACTCATATAGCTTCCCCCATGTATTGTTCCAAATCCTCACTTAATCATTTCTACACACACCACCATAAACCATTAAAATTATTTCAATTATTACAATTTAGACTTATTCAAATTTCTAAAAAAAAGAAAAAACTCATTATCTAGATTTCAAAAATATAAATAATATTCCAATTATTGTTCAGTTCATTTTCACCATCATATGATTTACTGTTATTTCTTACAATTCATCTTTCAATTCTAGATGTATACCTCGTATTTCTCTTTCATTTCTTTCTCCTTTTCTCCCTTTTCATTTTTATTTTTACCTTTTTCTTTCCCCTTTTTTCCTGTGCTTTAAAATCCTGATCTCTCCCATTTTGCCCTGTATTTCCCATTGTTCCCTCTCTCTTTTCTCTTTTTTTTTATTTCACCACTGTTTAGTCCGCTGTTTAGCCCAATATTATCATTCTGTATTTCAAAGTCCTGGATTCTTCTATTCTACCCTTTATTTCCTGTTATTATCCACCCTTTTTCTCTCTTTTTTATCTTTTCACTGTAAATCCCAGTGTAATCATTTAAGTTCTTTATATTCTTTCTGTTCCACCCTTCTTTCCGTATTTGTCTCTTTCTAGCCTCTCTATTTCTTTCATTGTTAATCCCAATGTAATCTCTAAAAACCTTATTATTACTATCCACATATTCAATTACTTTTTCATATTTAATCACATTTTCTTTATCTTCTTTATTTTCAGCCTCTGTGTCTTGCTTCTCCGTCTCTGTTTCCTTGTCAGCTTGCATATGCTTTATCTCACTTTTTATGTCCTCAGGTTTTAATCCCCCATGCATCATTGTAGTTATTTCTCTTATTTCCATTTTCCATGACAAGTACATCAATTTGATCATTTCTCTAATTTCCAGTGCCATTTTTTTCTTTTTAAGTTAGTATTATTCCAATTTTAAAAGTTCAGTGGTATTCCTCCCCACTCCCCTCCCAAAGTCAAGCCGCTTGCAGACAAAGGAATCCTCCCTAAAAGTTATCAGGGCTGTTACCTGTAAAGTTCACAATTTTCCAAAACACAAACCAAGATACAGTGTTCTTTTTTGCTCCTGAAGGCGTCTCTGCAGTTACCTAACAAATATCCATTTTGTTTCAATCTAAGTTGACAGTCTTAACTAGTTTCTCTTTTTCTTTTCAGCTTTAAAAATACCAAATCAGTTTTATAGTCCAGTCCAAATTTAAACAGCTCTTTTCACTTCTTTTTTCCTTTTTTCTTTTGTTTATACAGTTCTTCTATTACAGGGCTTATTGTCCATTCTCTTTTGTTTTTCTTAAAATTCGTGAAAGAGAGAAGAGAAAAAGGATCTATTTATTTCTTTCCAATCCTTTAATCCATCTTGGGGTAATTTCTTTCATTTTTAAATTTTCCAAATTATTTTCCAGGTAGTTTTGTTCAAAAGACAATTTTCTATTCGGGTTTTTGTCCCTTTAAAATTACGCTTCAACATTTTCTTATCTTCCTCCCATGCCGTTCTTTCGCTGGGGGTCTTCAGGTTTAAAGATTTTTTTCCCCTTATTATAAGTTGGCTGTCACTCACCTGGCTTCAAAAAACTCCGTTCCGTTCATTCCTCCTGCTCAATACTTAGTCCGATTGCGCCAGCTTCGTGACAGCCGCAATGGCTGCCTCCCCCCGCCGCCAAGTTGTAGAGAGCTTCCTCTGACCTTTGAGGAACTTGCCTGTTCCTCTTGGTCTTCCGAGGTGCCTCTCCTTCATCCCCGTCCGTACAGGACGGTTCCGGTCCGAAGACCCCTTGGTGATGGTTCATCAGTCCGTGTTTTTCCGGAGCTCATCGGAGCCTGCTAATTCCTGACTGTCTCGCCGCAACGGTTCTGGTCAAATCTCAACAACTCAACCTTGATGCTTGAAAGCAGCCACTGAATTTTACAATCAGTAAATGATTTGAATTGTAAAAATTATCCAGGGTATAGGAATAATGGCACTAAAAGAAAATCAAGAACATTCAGCATGGATTTGAAAAAGCAAAGCAATAAGTTTGGCAAAAATTAGCAGGAAGTCTTATCTTCCTAAAATTACATGTGTATTAATCTTCCTAAAATTCTAGTAATACTGTTGTTAAGACTAATCTTTTTAAGATTCCTACACTAAGACTACATTTCGAACCACGTGCCTTCTTGTCCGAGACCATAGAATTGTAGAGCTGGAATGGCCCATGAGGTTATTTACTCTAACCTGCAATGTATGGAAAACCATTTTAACCCATCCGTAAGAAAAAGAAAGCACTATCTAAAATCTTCTTTAAAATCTCCAGAGATGAAGCCTACACAATCTTTATAGATAGACTATTCCATTTTGTACAGATCTTACTCTCAGATTTTTTCCCCCTTATGTTGAAATTAAATCTAGGTAGTTGCAACTTATACTCATTATTTCTAGTCCTACTTTATATGGCAATGGAAAAATAGTTCATGCCCTCTTCCCTGTAGTTTCTATATGTACCTATAAATGGCTTCCTGAATATCCCAAGTTCTTTACAATTCTGAATAGGGCACGTCCTCAGCTCCTTGTACCATCTTTGTTGCTATCCTTTGAACCTTCTCAAGCCTGTCAACATTCAACTGAAAATGAGGAGCTCTAAATCATACACAGTATTTCAGGTGTGGTCTCACTAATGCCAAGTAGAGAGGAATAGTGACTTTGTGTGTCTTTGATATGATGTTTCTTCAGTGCAGCCCAGAACTATATTAAACCTATTATTAACTGTCTAACCCTGTTGAATCCTATTCAACTTGTTGTCAATGTAGCATTTTAAACTCCCACAATACCCAATCAGCAGAAAAGTATTACCAACTGAGAATTAAGGGACCCTAACTAGCTCATTTGGACAGCATATGGCTAGAAAATGCTATGTTAAACAATATTTTAACAGTTTATTGATATTGTAGATAAAATCTAAATTTAATAGAATTCCGTGAGTTGAATCCAGATACATTAGATTGAAAACAAGGTGATGAAAAGGATTATAATAGGAAGGCAGAAGTAAGAATCAAGAGGAAAGGAACTTGAAGCATTTCATCTGCTTATGGCCATGAGAGCAAATTACTTGGAGAAGACTAATGTTAGTTTGAGGTAAAGACAACTTCTGTGGCTGACAGCTTCAATATTTGTTACTACCAAAACAAAAGTTTGTCCAATATGAAAGAACAAGTAGATGTTGAGTCACCCTGTTTCCAAACGCCCCATTTGCAAGCAGACAAAGCTTCCAGCCTCCGTCAGTTCTCCCTCTAGGTGAAAAGTGTTCTGGTGGTGGCAGAAAGGAGTTAGGGGAGGAGGGGGAGGAGGAGCAGGAGATAGGCACCACAAACATTTTTTGCACCCAGGAGCTTCCATCAACTCTCCTCTCCCTCAAAGGCAAAGAAACCGCAGCAGATGAAGCTTCTCCTCAAGTCTCTGTGGCAGAGAAGAGACAGATCTTTGCAAGGTAAGTGAGTCCAGCACAGCAGGGAGGGGGAAGCATGAAGTATCTTAGTGGTTTGGGGAGATCTTGGGGGCCTGTTCCATCACTAGGCCCCTCCATGGTCTTCCCCACCCTGAGATACCTCATGTGCACTTAAAGAACCACACATTGGATTAGCGAATGTGTGGGCAAAAGGAAGGAATGATCTCGTTCAAGGTACGAGATTCACTCCTATGGATCCTTGAGTTACAAATGGAATGGGCAGACTCCATTACATTCGTAACTCGAGGACTACCTGTAGACCTTCATCTAAGTCCTATGAAA